GATTTAAACGTCCAGACCTGCCAGATTGTTTTCCTTGCTCGAAGAAGCAAGAAGAAATTTGTTTTTTTCGGGGAAACGTCGTATAAAACTGCGAAAAACTATATGTTTGTTGCATTTTGGGTTTTATATCATGCATAAGCTCTGATGAATGATGAAGAGTACATTTTTCTTAAAATAAAAAAAAATTCTTAAATAGACGTGCAAATACGTTAAGACCCCTAATTTACGGTTGTTTAAATTGGTTTCCATTTCAGTTATTGTTTGCGTTTTATTCCAGATTTTCCGCCGTACAAATCATGGTGGATTTAGGAGGCTATGTAATCATTCTGGTAGAAACCAAAGAGAAAAAGATTAAGCTTTATGGTAAGTGTGCAATCTAAGAGAGTGTGGGCATGTGGTACGATGGACACTAAAATTCGGCATTTGCCATTACAGGTTCGCCCGCTGATAACGATAATCTAGAAATCGGTGACGAAATTTTAGAAGTAAATGGTAAAACTTTAGAGGACGCCAATCATACGGAAGTTATTAATCACATCCATCAGGTATGTTCGATTTTTTCTATTCCGCTATAAAAATAAGCTTCGAAGTTGTGCGCTCAATTTCTTCTCTGTTTTTCAGTGTATAAGATCCAGAACAATATGCCTTCGTGTAAAGAGAAGGACTGGGGCCCGTTTAGGTAAGTCAAGTATTAATCTGCTTGTTCACGTAAAATGTAAAATAGTGGCTTTTATTGAGGTTTCATGGAAATTCGCTAGTATCCAAGTCGGGCATGTTTTGAAACTAAACATACAAGACTTTTAAGTGTAAGGTCAATTCAGTTAAAATCTTAATTTGGCAAATTCAATGATCTCAAAACGACCATATTGGCATCGAAATGCAAAGCAAAATAAGTTCTATATTGTTGAAGTGGATTCGTTTTTTTACAAACTTCTTTTTGAGTATTTCGCCTCAAAAATTTTTGGCTTTAAAAAAGACAGAATTTCCTCACGTCTTTTATTACAGATTGATAAATAGTGCTCCTATGTCGCAATAAGAACGAATTATTTATCAAAAAGTAATCAAGAACTATCACCTAGAGGGTATCCTGCGACACACTTAGGTTCAAGCTGTAAGAGAAAATCCCAATTAGTAGAGAAATTAATTTGAAAAATTACCTTGACGTTTCGATAGTTATTTTCTACTATCGTTATCAAAAGAACCTAAATGAACCTAAAAAAGAGTATGTTAATAAATTGTGTAACAATAGTAGGATAATACAGTATATGAAAATTCGCTCTGATAATGCGTCTGTGCAAATTGTCAGTTATGTGATGGTAAAAAGGTAATGTTAATTAATAATTTTGGTGTAAATTTAATTTGGGTGTATGTTTCTCTGGTCTACTTCAGATTTTAGCATAGGTAACCATGTATGA